GGGGGGCTATCGCGACAGCTCGACAACGAGAGCAGTCTCGGACGTGCGTCTCGCGGGCCGACGGGATGTGCCCCCCCTGCCCCGGCCGCCGCGAGTCTTTGTGTGCCTCCCCCATTTCCCCAAGGCTAGGCAGCGGGCCCCCCGATCCGCCCAGATCTGGATCCGCACGCACTGAGGCGTCGTGGGGCCCTGCTGGGCGGCGAGGACCGGTGTAACCAGATCCAGCCTAGACAGCTGGCTGCTCTCTGGTCCACGTGCCGGCCCTGCCGGCGGCGGCGCTGGTTCGCAGGGCACACGGGGGAGCGGGGCAGCGAAAGGTTCGTGGACTCCACTCCCGGCGCCCCTCCTCCCCTCCGGGCAAAAATGGCGGCCGTTTGTCGCCGCTCGCGCATGGCATAGGATACATCACCGTATCTTTTTTGCGCCCCTCCCGCCTAGACTGGCGCGGAAATGTGCAAGTGTCCTGAAGTTAGTTGGGCGGGCGGCATGAGTGTCTGTGTGCCCGACCCATGGGGAGGGGGGCTGTAAAGTGCTCGTGAGCCCCCCCCCCCCCCCCCCCCTCCCCCCCCCTCTCTCTCTCTCTCTGTCTCTCTCGCTCTCTCAAACACACACACACACGCGCCATTATAAACACACGCCGCGCTCAGCCGGCGTGGTCCAACTCAACCGACACTCACGTGTATCCCGAGAGCACGTCCAGCAGGGTGGACTTGCCCGCGCCCGACGGCCCCATGATGGCCGTCAGCTGGCCCGCCTTAAACTCGCCGGAGATGCTGTCCAGGATGCGTCGTTTCTCTGCAAAAAAACAAAAGAAAAGGAAATAATGTTTCTGTGGTCGTTTTGAAATCAATTTCACCACGAGCATCCCAAATGTATAGAAGAATGCGCCGTTATTTGCTAAACCACAATCAAGGCTGCGAAAAAGGGGAAAAGAGCGAGGAGAGGGGGGGGGCATATTACCTTTTGGTAAACGCAGTCTTGGGGACTGTGTAAACAACGCAAAACAAACACTTTGAGTAAGGGGGCAAAAATGGCGGCCGTTTGTCGCCGCTCGCGCATGGCATAGGATACATCGTATCTTTTTTGCGCCCCTCCCGGCTAGACCGGCGCGGAAATGTGCAAGTGTCCTGAAGTTAGTTGGGCGGCATGAGTGTCTGTGTGCCCGGCCCGTGGGGAGGGGGGCTGTAAAGTGCTCGCCCCCCCCCCCCACTACACACACAGTCCCCACGCCATAGTGACAGCGCGAAAGTAAAAGATACACCACCTTCCTCAGTGCCCCCCTGCCCTCGCCGCCGCCGGGCCGCGCGGGCCGTTTGAACACTACTTATCTACCGCGGCACTATCGATGGCCATCGCCGAGCTGGGCGACGCGAACATTGTGTCCACCACAGTCGCATATCGATAAGCCGTGTACGCCAACGCACACGGCGCCCCACGGCGCCCTCCCCACCGGCGGAGAGGCTGTCATGTAAAAGGAGAGCCGACACTTTACATC